CACTCGAAGTCCCCGAAAGTCCTTACAAATTGATAATTTTTATTTAATGCCAGTTTACAGGCATTGTCAAGGGAAGAGTTGAAAACAAATCCGACCAGCAGTGAAAAAAACTCCTGAGGTAAAGGAATAAAATATAGTTGATGGTGGTTTTTATGGTTAAGAGGATTCAGGAGAAAAAACTGCTGGCGGTATACATTCGACCGTCAAGAGGGGTGGGGAGGGGGTTGCACGGTATCGAGGATTATCGCACGTCAATTCCTTTCATGAAGTTGGGGATAGTCAAATTAGAGGCGCTGAGGAACAGCTGTCGCAGTTGGCCAACGAAATTGTCCATGGTGAGACAGGCCATAGTGTTCAGAGACCACAAACGCCATCACTACGGTAGAGTCGATCAGTAGGTTCAGCACCGAAAATTTGTGGGAGCTTTTCTGAATGCAAAAAATCGAGTAATATCTCTCTTAAATAAGGGATAATTTTGCAGATTTTTCACACTTATAGGTATTTTATTCCAAATAGCAATTGCATTTACAGAAAGAACTGACGATATTTAACAGTACGTGCCAGAGGAAGAAATAAAAAGAGCTCACGGTGACTGTTACGTCGTGAGTGGACATGGTGTCTTAAAGAGGTGAGTGGGTTAAATGTGTGAAAATAGAAGAGCTTAGATAGCAAAAATAGTCCCTTTTGTAATCTACGGAACCATAAAGGATCAAGGCCCGTAAGCCGGCAATGTTCTTGGTAAGACAAATGTCGGTGTTATGGGGTTAAAGCTCTCTTGGTAAAAAAAGTGTTGAACGGATTCTATTTTCTTCCGCTCAGTATCACGCATGAGACTAAATAAAAACGAACCGCATTCCAGACCATGTCTAACGTACATGTTGAAAAGGCGAACTCTAATGTCCCTAGTTTTGAAGTTTCGGAGGATAAACCCGGTCGTTCTACGTGCTTTGGAGACTATCAAGACACAGTGCTCCGAGAGATTGAGACTCTTGAGTATGATACGCCCAGATCCTTAATAACCCAAGACACATTTATGGCCTGACCTTCAATGCTTTGTTGAGGTTGGCGGTCGTCCCCAACCACCATGATTGAGCAGTTATGCCAAGAGAAAGTAAGGCTCCATGTACGGCACCACTGGGCGAAAACCTGTAGATCGCTCTTTAGGAACTCAAGCACGATGTCACGGTCTGTCGACTTATATCGATATGCAACTTTAAGATCATCAGCATACATGAAAAACCTACCATTCTGAAATAAATGGAGTACATCATTAATGAAAGGTCAAAATAAAGGCGGGCCGAGTACACTACCCTGAAAACGGTAACATAAGTTCTCAAATCCATAAGTAACATTCCGTGGCCCTAAGTCGAGCATGTCTCGTTTAACATACTAAGGCTGAAATGGAAAAATAAAAGAGAAAACAAAGATCGGATTTTGGGAATTAATAAAGTCGAGATCTTATCCAGCATAATATCTTATTAGAAAAAAAAGCACGCGGGGGACTGCAGGGTCCTTTTTATTGATCGCACTTAACAGTGCCCTTTGTAGTTATGAATCAGCACCTGAAACAATGCGACTGAGAAAATCCTGGAAAAGAGGAATTCGGGTCAAAAACACAAGAACATCGAGATAATAGGTCAACTATAAACACAACCTGATAACAAAATCGGACCCAATGTTGCCTCAAGACGCGAAGTTCCTGGCGTTTTTTGATGCATTTAAGACGAGCGCGTAAATGGTTTGTTTGGGCTACAAAAGGTTAAAAAAAGGATACGAAATGTTCCTATATCTGCAGGCGTCGGAGAACGTGGATTCAAACATGAAAAGGCAAATCTTTTCCCGACGCCCAGTTTGAATGTTGAATCATGTTTGGTAAGTGGATAAACTCAACCAAAACATTAGACGGCTGAATAAGTTGGCCTTCCTGAAATTGTGCAAGTGAATGTGAACCCCTGGGTGTATGTTAGCCCCGGTGAGCGCATGCGGTCGTCTTTTTTCATGTCACACCATGCTTTATTTCCTTAGTTCGATGCTACTCTTAGTGTCTATTAATTTTTTTCAACGCATTTTGACAATATGAAACATTTATTAGTGTTCGTGCTATTCGTTTTTTTCGCACCGATGCACGCTGTACTGCCCCAAAGCCTGATGTGGAGTAGTGACCATTATAAAGAGCGAATCTGGGTGAGGAGCAACGACCGCTGAGCCAAATTTCTGTTTTAAAAAGCAGAAGTGGCGTAGCGGTGAACTAGAATCATTTGACCACCGGGCGGAGCATATTGCTATTTGAGGCTTTCGAGAGGTTGCCTGGCCGCTCACCCTCTCAACGAATTCAAAAACTACACGGCACTTGTGACAACAAAAAGAACTGTTATTTGTTAAGAAGTCCCCGTCCTTGGACTTGTCACAAGGTGATACTCATGTCGAAGGCCGTTCTAGTTTTTCATTGCCCAGACTTCCTTGCGCCCGTGGAATCGGATTGGGATAATGTCTCCCTGTGGTCTCAATATTTCGTCTTTTCTTTTTAGAGATGTTAAGTAGTGCGGCATTGCTTCACTTATGTAAAGCAGACTCGGTATGCCACACTGACAAAAATATCTCTTGCCGTTTAACAATAACACTTTAAGAGTCTGTAACCGTCAGCTGACAGTCTACTCTCACCCGATCCTGCTATTTTGTGGTCGCCAATCCACTGCCAAATTTTAGTTTTAGTGTTGGCCACACCCGTAGCCTGCCACTTCCATTTTATGCTATAGCATAAAATGTGTCAGGTCGACTAACTTTTTAAAACACTCCCATCCAGTAATGCTGTCCGTCTGATAAGCAATTCAAAGACTGCCATCACTTTCCGATTTTGACTGACTGCCGAATTGTTTCAACGAAGGCGAGAAAAGCTGTTAGATTTTTTGTTATCATTGTTCGTGAAGGCTTGTTCATGTTCTGAGTACATGGTTGTCAGTATCGATTTTTACCGGTTCCCACCGCTCCCGCTGCCTGAAAGTGCAATGCTTTAAAGTTTATGCTCCCGAAAAAATTGAATGGCGTCGACAGATATCCACTGTTTGTGCACGCAGTAGTCAAAATGTCTAAACTAAGCACTAGCAATGAAGTTTAATTGAGGCTCATTTTTAGTTCACGCTGGGCAGCTGAGCGTCATTATTTTCTAGCCAGGAAACCGGCCGGTGACTTCTGAGTGAGACTGACTGACTGCTTCGCTACCTTTAGGGTTTGAGGACCGTTACTTAGTTGCTAAATCAACAAGTTTTTTTTCTGACACTGAAATATGCTTTTATCTGCAACCACTCGGCATAGCCAAGAAGCCGGTCGCCATCGTCGTATCGATTACCCATAACAAACTTCGAATACGTGGCAATCCAATTAATCGGCTCTCTCGATGCGCGTCTGATGGAAAACGGCTCAGACACGTGCGAGGGCTGTTTTAGAATTCTTATGCCTTATCGTATTTCGCGTTGCACAGCGAGTGTTGCGAAATGTCACAGGCTCCCTTGTTATGAGTGCTCTGTTCACCTTCCGTTGTATTTCGTAGGCAACACCATGTCTGGGATAGTTTGCAAACATCAGGGCAATAGAGATGCCAAACCGCACCTGGAAGTATTACTGCTGCATGGTCTGCCACTGTCTTATTCCCCACCGTGTCCTAAATAAAAGCTTGTTCTCTTGTCCACCGTCCATAGATTCGCTAGGTGAAATTACAGTCCCAAGATTGCACACATTTATGACCAACCATTGTGTAGACCATATTGAAGCCATTTCGCTGCCCCTTCGCTGTGGCTCTGGGAACATCTCCACCCGTAGGTACGTGGACTGCAAGTCTAAAATTGGGGAGAAGGCACATCCTGATGGTATTGTTACGGGGCAGAGGTGAAGATTTATTAATAATCAACGCATCCTTTCCTGTCTGAAACAATTGGAATGGCCCTGGAGGATGAATACAAGTCCATTGTGTGCCGGTCAGGCATATGTTTTTCTGTACTATCCGGCCCCCTCAAGAAGGGCATCCCAACCGTTTCGTTGTCCTGGTTGGGGGTTGTTTCACATTTCCTTTCAGACTGGTAGCCAGGGAAACCAGTAAATGGTGCAGAGGAAGTGACTGTCCACAAATTTGTAATATATGTCTGACAAAGTGCACCATTTGACCATATAGTGACTATCAAGACTGAGACTGCACTGACTTCTATTTGGTTGAGCCCGTAATTATACTTTATGTTAGGTCGAAACTACAGCGACCACATAAAATCAGTGTCAAATATAGAAGCACTCAGCATAGAACAATACTCCGTCTACCTGGCCCATTGACTCTGAGGTACTCGTTCCATAGAGATTTCGGTTAAGAAAGTATTATTAAGCTAGTTTCTACGGTCTATTATAAGAGAAATTGCATGCTGTCATTGAGCAACAGCGGACCGGGGAGTTCATTTACGTGCTATCCCTGTGACTCTGCACCGATTTCGCACAAGCTTACGGACAAAGATGGTAGTCTCTTGAAGTAGACGGCATATAAACCGTTTAATATGTAGAAGTTGATGAAAGTATTAGGATATTATGAAATTCCGAAGGGTTGTTTTTATTATCCGTCATGTCCTGACTACTCAACAGGGAATGTTGACTGCTATCTCTCCCAACCCGACACGCACAATCACAGGAAAAAGAGATACAAGCCTCTTTTGAAATACATGAGCATTTCCGCACACTTCTTGAAAAACTGATGATGGCGAGTGCTAAGTCTAGGCAAGACGGAAAATTCATTTTACTCGCTTGGAAGAACCAAAATACCTCCAATCATTTGGTCTCATATTTCCCGGTAAACGTTTCTACCTTAGGAATATATTGGTATAGTGCATTCGCAGACTCCTCTAGAGCTGTTCCTCGTGCAGTGTTAAGTTTTGCCATTGACATTCCGCCTAAATGTTGCATTTCCCAACTGGCTGACAATGACTGTTATAATTCATTTTTCAGTTGCTGTACCATTGTAAAGTGCAATGAAGCCCTTTTATCTGACATCATTGTGCAAAAGAGTGCGCCTTGACTACAGCTGCCTGCGAAAACTGAACGGCTCTTCGGAGGTAAGGCCCTTTTATTCAACATACCATCCGTTAGCCGCTTGATGTTGCTAAAGTTCGCAACATTGGCATCTCAGCACACATAGATAGTGGGAAAACAACCATATCAGAGAGGATTCTGTTCTATACGAATCGCATTTCGTCAATGCACGAGGTACGTCTTCTCGCGGACATATTTCAATTCACCTCCCTCAAACGTAAACCATGCCATTCTCAGCCTTGGCACAGAACCCCTTTTTTACGGTAGGGCAATGATGATTCTCTTGAGTAGCATCATATTACGCATTGTACTTTGACACTCCTGTGGTGTGGTAGCTCTAGAACAATTTTTTGGAAGAAGTGGGAGGGAGGACAAGGTCACCGCGTGAAACTAACGTTTTGGACCATTGCAGCCAAGAAATTAGTTTGTTAGGTAGCTTGTTATCATCCTCAAAAACCCTACCTCTACATCTTTCGGTTTTTCGATTGCCGAATAATTTTGAATTCAACCTGCCATTACACCTGCATTCAGGGTTTGCAAACTACAAACTTCGTAGTTTCCGCGTTGGAAAAATCGCAAATTTCTATACGCTATTATGAAGAAATCATATAGGGCCTATTAAATTCCGCAGTGGATATGGGCCACGTTGTAAACTTTATTAGCAGCATTACTAAATAGAATCATGCGACACTTTGTGAATGAATTTTCAGCAATCTTAAAAATCTCATAATTAGACAATCAAAAAACCGGAAAATACCCTTCCCTCAGGTATAAAATTTGCAGAAGACATTATTTGCTGCCAAGTAAGTGCAAGAAGCAACATTTTTATGCGCGCTTTCTATAGAATATACTTGCATTTATAAGGGACATCGAGAGTCAGTGGGAAAAATTCATACCACTTAAGAGTGTAGTTTTTGCAGGCCGCCGGCAGGAAGCTTGTTCAAAAGCCGTCACCCTGACATGGCTGAAATATATCTGGGATTATGCTGCCAGTTATACGACCTCGCTTAAATAATCTTTTCAAGTCAGAAACGCATTTTAGAATTCCTGTTAACGTTTCATGAGATGGCATATCCACTATACATTGACATGGTACCAACAAAGTATGGTCACCATTTCTACTTGTTTGGTTGATTTTTGAGAACTTTTTAAAGTCTCATTTTGTTCCATTTCTTTCACCTTAACCCCCAGAAATTAAGCGCAGGGTCACATTTGGTACGGGGATACTTATTTTGCTGTACTCTATCCTGCTGTTTCATGCCTGCATGCTCAACGACCCAGGCATCTTGTACTTGTACTTGATACGGCTGCGATCATTCCTGATCTAGCCGGCCTCGATGATGTCCCGAATTGTACCTCTCCACACGTGACGATCCGCGACAGCAGATCTAGACAGCTCAACCCATTCCCTTCGCCAACGACGGAGACCGAATACCGAAGGTCCAAGAACCACCTCCATGTCTTGACTGATAGTGTCGAGCCAGGTTTTGAACTGACCCCCTCTTCGACGCCTCCAATGGGGCAACGGCGCCGGATCGAGGGCAGTAACACTGAGCTCCTGAGGTGGACGACGAAGAACATGCCCGAACCACCTCAGTCGTCTTTCTTGGATGGCCAGAATTATCCTCGCGATGTTGTCGCAGCGAGCGCGGACTATCTCATTTGAGACGAAGTTTGTGAACTTAACTCGAAGGATGATCCTCAAGCAGTGGTGGTCAAATACCTCCAGTTTTCGCTCATCCGCCACGCGCAAAGCCCAGCATTCACAACCGTAGAGAAGGACAGACAGGACAGATGCACGGTACACGCGAATCTTAGTGGCGCTGGAGAGGTCACGTCGGTTCCACAGGCATTTCCGAAGGCTTGAAAAAACCCAGCGGGCAGCATCGGTTCGGGAGACAATGTCGTCCTTACTCTGTCCATTAGGCAGCAGCCGCGCCCCGAGGTATTTAAAACTGTCCCCTTCTTCAAGTTCACAGCCATCAATCCCCAGGGGTGCCTTCTCCTGGTCAGGGATGCAGCTTGAGAATACTTTGGTCTTCCCAGTGTTTATGGACAAACCGACTGATTTAGCGACCTCGTTCACTCGTGACACCATAGACTGCAGATCACCAAAACTTGAAGCAAGTAAGGCGATATCATCGGCATAGTCGAGATCAGTCAGTCGATGTCCGGGTGCAAATTCAACACCGTCACTGTCGCGTAGGGCCCTCCCGAGGATCCAGTCAATAGCGTAGTTGGACAGTATGGGTGACAGGATACAACCCTGTCGGACGCCAGACCGAATACCGAACGGTTGGGAAAAATTGTTACAGACCAGGACTCTCTCAGTAGTGGAATGATAGTAGGCCTTGATCATGGCGATGATTTTGGCCGGTACACCATCTAGCGCCATTATCCGCCACAGGGACTCACGGTGAACGGAATCGAACGCGGCGGCAAAGTCAACGAAGCAGACAGCTGTCGGTTGTTGGTAGCTATGGCGAAATTCGAGAATGCGCCTCAGTGTGAATATCTGATCTGCGCATCCACGTCCAGCACGAAATCCGGCTTGGTTGGGCCTCGTCCTTGAGTCACGCACAGCCTGGAATCGTCCGAGTAGGACAATAGCGAAGATCTTCGCAGCAACGTCGATGAGACTTATGCCGCGGTAGTTCTCGCATCTCGTCTTATCTCCCTTCTTGAGGATAGGTACAAGGATGCCTAAGCCCCAGTCATCAGGGACAACCTCGTCTCTCCACGCGCGTTCAGTCACCTCATGGAGCCAGGGCGCCAGAGTGTCGACACAAGACTTAAAGATTTCAGCGGGTATACCGTCCTCTCCGGGTGCCTTATTGTTGCGCAACTTTCGTATGGCATCGGCGACTTCTTCCTCGGAGGGGGGATCGCATGGCACTGCATAGGTAGGAGAGGGAAGAAACTCCGCTGAGGAGGAGAACAAGGGCGATGTAGGTTGGGTATCGAAGTTGAGATGGTGCTCAAAGTGCTCACGCCAGCGCTCGACTTTGGCCGAGTTGTCAGCAATAAAGCCGCCGTTCACATCGCAAACAGAGTCACTCAGTGTAGAGGGCTTACCGCTAACTTGACGGATCAGACGGTAGAGCTTTCGAGTGTCACCAACGTTCGAGGCCTGTTCCATGGATGTCGCTATTTCAGCCCAATATTGTTTCCGATCATCCCTGGCCGATTTTGCCGTCATCTTCCGAAGTTGGCGGAAGTAGTCATCGTTGCGGGACCTGGCTCTAGCCGTCTGAGCAGACAACTGCAGGGTTCTTCCGCTGATCCAGTCACTGCGGCGTCGCTGGGTGTATCCAAGGATTTTCTCAGCTGCCCCATAGACTGATGTCTTCAGTGACGACCACTGGTTACTGACGTCTCCGTCGACTCGGGCCGTAAAACAGGTCCGGATTTCTCTGCTTAGGGCCTCGGCGGTGCTGGCTTGCCGGATTTTTGCGACATTGAGGCGTCTAGGACGTGGCATTTTTGATGCGGATGAGAGGTGAACTTTCAGGCGTGTACGGACGAGGACATGATCCGACCCATGGACGTTACCAGTCTCGGCACCACACATCGATCTGCTATCGTGAACCCAGCTGCGGAACCTTGAGCTGACTAGTATGTAGTCAATCTGACTGGCCGTACGGCCGTCGTTTGAATACCAGGTCAGCAGATGTTTTTTGCGATGCTGGAAGCATGTGTTGGTGACAAGCAGTCGGTTTCGATCAGCGAAGTTCAGCAATCTCTCACCATTTTCACATCGAGAACCAAGCCCAAAGCGGCCAAGAAGATGACTGGTTGTGGGGTCGCCAGGTCCAGTTCGACCATTCCAATCGCCAGCAACAATCAGCAGATCGCGGCGAGGCAGTCTTTCAACTAGCGCTTGCAACTGAGAGTAAAACGCCTCTTTATCGCGCTGTTCGGCAGCCGAAGTTGGTGCGTACACAGCGACGATGGAGATGTTCGTGAAGCGACCCTTCAGTCGCACGTAGGCCATCCGGTCATTTACTGGTTCCCAAGCAAGTAGCGCAAGCTCCGCTTGTTGTGATAAGGCGATCGCCACACCGTGTCGACCAGAGGAATCGCGGGGGCCGCTGTGGTACAGGGTGAAGTGGGATTCGACTGCCGCGATCTTTATTTCACGAGAGCCCGAGTCAGGGAGTCGTACCTCAGACAGCAGACATCCACGTTGTACTAATGAAGGCTGCGTGCGGTCAGACTTTGGGTACCAGGGTCCAGGAACGTTCGTACATTCCAGCATCCAATACCGAGAGTCCGTCCACGATTGAGTAGTCCAGCTCGCATACTATTCGCCCGCACCACTGGACTAGGGTTGCGGAGCGCGTCGGTTCCCGCGGACGCCGTAGCATGGGTCGTAGTACTGTTATTGGACATGTTGCATGAGGTTTCTTTGGAATTTCGAATACGGGCGGGTCCCCAACAGCCGCTCGGATTGTTTGTTCGAGGTTGCCTCCTCTAGCGCTTTGGCTTAAAAACCTAACCACAAGGCAGCGGTGGCAAGTAAACTTATTTAATGGCGGTTTACGGTCGCCATGTCACAATGCCGTCATTGGGCTTTGCGGCATTTTATAAGGCTTTCAGCGTGCCAGACTTCAGCCCACCGCACCCTGGTAGCAATGCCGCTGCTGGTCCGCGACTGCTTATTCGTCAGACCTGGGTCCGCTTATTTCGCAGCTAACCTTCACTGAAGGTCGTCCCACTATCCGCCACCTGTGGACGCGCCGGGTAGCCAGCAGCTAGGCTAACGGGCAACCCGTCTTCCCATCCGCATAGAATGCCTGACTTCGTGGTTCATAAGTTGAGATAGACCCGTGGTATCCCGTCCTTCTAGTTTGACTGATTTTTAGACTGACTCACTTTCAAAACCGGATGCAACCGCGTCGCATCGGGTTAGCTGGGGCTCCTTTGGAAAATCGTACCCCAGTGTTGATTTCGGTCGGGAGCATACACACATTTACAAACTTGGTCTTGTACTGTACAACATGTTCTAAAACATTTAATCACACCGCATGGTGCGAGTCGTTCGCTTTTTAGGACGTGAAATTTCTTTGTTTTAGTAACATTTGCTCCATTTATATCCCTTCAGTGATGCAAAAAGAATTCTGCCCCGTCACCCTACGAAGTTTTGTTCTTTGTTGTATTAATTGGCTTAGTGAGCAGGATTTTCAGGACCTAATAGTCGCCCAAAATCTGGCAAACAATGCTTTTTGATGCAGCGTTAATGTGCGCTGGGTTCTCGAGTTTAAAGTGTGCGTTATTCGCAAACATTGACGAAGTGGCACGACCCTGCGTATCTCCACCAAAAGGAAATTGGCGTACCTGGTTTCCTGCCCTTCTCCGTTTCGCCTCATGCTCCAGAGTATACGCTTGTTCTGGATCCCTACCATTTCCTTACAAATCCAAGATCAGGTCTGCAATGATGCTGACTCACACTCTTTCGCGTTTGTGGCTAGGTTCGTGGAAAGGATGGTGTTGGCGCTGTCATGGATTCCATGGAACTGGAACGGCAACGGGGCATCACAATCAAGTCTGCATCCACGTACACCTCTTGGCGAGGTCACACCATCAACCTTATCGACACGCCCGGTCATGTGGACTTCACTGTGGAGGTGGAAAGGGCGCTACGTGTGCTAGACGGCGCCATCCTCGTCCTCTGTGCGGTTGGCGGAGTTCAGAGTCAAACCTTGACTGTGGACAGGCAGATGAAACGCTATCGTGTACCCAAGGTGGCTTTCATAAACAAAATCGATCGTCTTGGCTCAAACCCACAGAAGGTACTCAAGCAGATGCAGTAAGTGTTGACTTTTTGCATGCTCTCTTAAATATTTTAGTCAGTGACGCGCCAGACGGAACTGGCTCACGCCTCGATTCGATGTGTTTTACTTGTTTTTCAAGCATTCAGTTGACAGAAATCTCATGGAGCCAATAGTCCCAGACAAAATGGCTTATTTTATCGCGCGAGTAATTTTATGTTCATCATTAATTTACCGAGGTTCACTTGTTTTAGTTATATGACCATGGGCATAATCTTGGGCAGAGACTTAATATAATTGCCCAGCTTTAGCTGGCTTGACTAGCCCTGGATAGAAATTGAAAATATTACCAACCAAGGAGCCAAGCACCACTAAGGGGTACACAGGTTTTGGAATTGGAGCATCCAGTGCCTAAACCCTGTTTTTACTCATACACAACTCGCGAAATGTCCACCAAGAGGAGATTGGTCTTCGGTAAAAAGATGTACTAGAAGACTTTTTGATAAAATAAATGCATAGTCCCGTTTTTAGGCTTGGGAAAAGGCCAGTGCCCCTGAATGGCTATATTCACTCCTTCAGGAAGTGCTCCTCAAATTGTCTACGTGCAGTGTTTTGTCTGTGCGGTATGCCACACCACTGCTTCACTTGGTGGTTACGAAGGGTTTGATCAATAATGGTAGTTTCCTCTCGAAATTTTTGTTGAAGAACCGGTGTGTCTGGGAAATTTATCTGCTAGATGCCTTCCTTTGACGCCCGCGTTCTTGCATTCTGTCGTCAGTCTCTGCTCACATGCCGCCACCATCATCATTAGGTGTTGGCGCGGAGTTGAAATGGCATCTGGCGAAGGCAGGAAGACTGGCTTGACAATAATTTGACCCATTTTCCATCATTCACACTCTACCAAATGCAGTCGAGCATGTTCAGTGACATGGTCACGACATTTGTTTATCTGGGCGTCCCGCTACACCGCAAGGCTCGGATCTTTAGCCTTCGCAGGCGGTGACCGCCGAACGACGAGCGATTAATAGTCATGGTGTAGGGTGTTGCAGAACTCCAAAACCCCACGACCTCGGTATAGCAGACTTAAACGGGGTCAACCACATGTGTAGCGCGCAAGATATGGAGACTTTTTGCCACATCGGCCACTACTTATTAGTGCATTTCCAACCGGCTTGATCCATTCTAGCCGCTGATGCACAACGTGAGACCGAAGAAGAGGTGGGACTGACTCGGTTTCCCTAAAATAAATCCGAAGGGCTTCGAAACTATTACGGCCCGTTACAAATTGTGGTTTGGAAATTTGCCGACAGGAACGATAACGCAGTTTTCCTGCGAACTGAAGGTCAGATTGCAATGATTTCTTAAATCTGCCCAACGACCTCTCGATGATATAGCATCGGAGCCAACGCCCTTGACCACGGTGGGTGTGGGAAGGGGGGAGGGCGGGAGGAGAGACAGGAACCCTTCGTAAGCCGTTCACAATCATCCGCCCTTGCGCAAGTTGTCGTTACTCCACCGGGACGGGGGCGCTTCTCATCGACTTCGGCGGACTAACTGTTGCATCGCAGAACTTCCGGCTTTCTTTGTCCTACAAGTCATGTCGTTCAGTTTGCCTAGAAGTACCCACAAATGCTCCAGGTTTTACCGGTGTAACCAGCGTTCTTTCTGTCAACTTTTCAGGGATAAATTACGTTACACTACTGCCTTTGTAAACATCCCCATTGGACTAGAGTCGAAGAACGTCGGCATCATCGATCTTCTGGAGGAGAAGGCTCTCTACTTTGACGAACCTCAAGGGTGAGTTCTATGTGTCAGTTTTTTTGCATTTGATTTTATGCCTTCGATGCACCAAGTAACGTTACTCACTGTCTGCTATGTTGTATCCTAGGCCTTGTAATAATGAGCGTAAATATTATATCTAGCATTATTTGGCCTTATTCTAAATACCAGACGGCCAATAGAAATGATTCCAGGGTTGTGGGACTCAGAAAAGACGGGACCTGCCGGTTAGACTAACTGTGGCTTACCTTGCGCGTCCACAGGTGACACATAGTGATGGGGTAGTGGATAGAGTCACACAGTGTCTAATACAGAACATAAAACCATTCCTCCATCAAGCCACACGAGAAAACCGCTGTTTTGCGGCCAACGACGCCAAAGTGATGTTGAGAGATTTGCGCTGGCACCGAATCGCAAAAAATCCGAATTTTACTTGACAGCCTTTGCCACTGCATCTCTTAGGAGGGAGACGCTTGAAACGTGACGCATAATTTTAATTAACGCAACATGTCTACTTACTTCATCAGCGTAGGCATGCCGTATTAGGGTTAAAATTGCGGTTAAAGCTTGGGTAGATGGCAACATTTAGGGTTAAGGTTGGGTTAAAAACGAGGGCTAGCGCTAAGTTTGCCTGTCGCATATCGTCTTGCCCAATCCAGCCTTCTTTAATCAACAGCATGGATTGCCTGTTTTTTGTCGATTTGAGCGTCCTTGGTTCGCCTCTTTCAAATTGTGCGTTCTGCTCTGGCAGAAATGCGAATTTCCTCATTGCCATCCACAGATTGCACTAATTATCGCGTCTATCTGCCCCGCTGATAAAGCTGATATTCACAACCCGTATTACAGGAGTCGCTGTGCGCAATTTCCTCAGTGGGGCTGCATATTCAATTCTTGTTAGTAAAAGTTCTCAAGACAGTGAGGATCCTCTGTTTCATGTTTCACTCGTTAGCAGAAAACTGACTCCTGGCCACCAACGCGTCTATTTGCACTACCCTTGTGGGACCAGCACACGTCGACTTTCGTTAGACGGCGTAGGAACTGCTGCCTCTCTAAGGTCGCCATCCGCACCAGACCGTCTACAGCGGTCGCTTCTCTACTCTCTGAGCTGATGTCAATGCTGATAATGCACCAAACGGTCTACAGGTGAAACAACAAACCGAAATAATAGGATCGTGCTGGTACCTGCTTAAGTAGGTATAGTAGGTATTCTTTCGAGGCCGCAGATGCTTGGGGGCCTTTACTCGATCCTTACCGCAACTTGCATTTGCCCATAATGATGAGCACCATAATGTTCGATACAGTGAGAAAAGTCCAATACGGACTCGATTCGCCGTCTAAGCATCCTCTCCGGTCACTGTAGTTAACGCGATGGCTGTGCAGCAGACTTTACTTGCACCCGTTAACTCTGGCCACTATTCTTTTGCTGCCTCTCAGCCTCGTCGTGCGGACGGAGGACATTCCCAAGGAGATGGCCTTCGAAGCTCGGGATCGTCGGGCAGAATTAATCGGTGAGTACTTGTACTTTATGCGCCTCATACCATTTCCAACATTCACCTACTTTTTTGTGGCGGGCTCGGATAAGTTTTCCAAAGCTGCGGAGAATATTTTCCACAAGCACACGTAAGCGTCAGAATAATTGACAGCCCATATCTCGGTTTAAGACATACGATTCTTTATCAATAAGGTTTTTGTTAATTCACTTGCACTCTCTGAACTAGACTGCCATAAAATTGACCATGCTGTCAGAAGTGTGACTCATTTTTTCCGACTCCGTCTGGTGACTGTTTGTCTCCACGGTTCTGGTTAGTAGTTCTAATGCATAACGGTACATGTGTTTCCTAATCGTCTATTTTTCTAATTCGCAACCATACTACCTCGACTGTTTTGTGAGCGCTACCATCCCCTTCCCGTGCTGTTTAGATGATATGTCCAACGAAGGTTTTTATTGCGGTCTCAAGCCTTACCTGTGCCTGTTCATGATACCTCTTTTTTGCCCCCAAACCACGCGCGCTGGCTAGAGTGTCTGGCAAACGCAGATGAGGCGATCGGCGAGGCCTACCTAGCCGAGCAGCCGATCACGCTGGACCTCTTAAAAGCCGGTATACGGAGAGCCACCCTGCAGCACCGATTTACGCCAGTGCTGGTGGGTACTGCGCTGAAAAACAGGGGTGTTCAGCCGCTGCTGGATGCTGTCGTGGATTACCTGCCCAACCCCACGGAGATCCCACACTTTGCTCTGGACGAGAGCGGAGAGTAAGTATCCTCCCCCCTCCTTTTAGGAATTAGTGCAGCCTCCGTCTGCAGTGTCCTCAAGAGCTCATGAACAGTTTGCTGAAACCTGCAAATATTCATTCCGATAAAGCAAATTGTTTAAATGAGGTTGCTTTACTGACAGGCCAGGAGCGTAACCACAAGTTTGCATGTATATGATAGTATGCTAGCCTTCTGTTGAGAATATCCCTTGCCATAAGCCTTAACTTCACCTAAAAATCTTCGGTGCTTAAAAACGGAGCCTTCTCACAGGAATTCTCGACAATAGTTTCCTACGATTGTGCCCGTCTATGTTAGTTTGTTATATTTTATTTTGCAGAAAATTGGCTCTTCTTGAAATATAGCGCATAAGGGGAAGGCACGCCCCGTTTTATAAAAGGCGTTCGGACGAGTTTCTGGGTAGTCGAATGTTTATTGAACTCATTCATAAGGTGTGCACTGTAAAAAAGATGTTTTCCAATATTTGAAGTGCATCGAAGGTCTCTTCTCGCATAAATAGGGGGGAATATGGAATTTTCTCTAAAAGAAAATACCACGTAGTGTAAAAACCTTTAGAGCAAATAAAAACGCAATTTTTTATGAAAATATGCACAAACTGTTCCATGCGGTCAAATGGCGTCTTTCAAGGAGGTTTCTCTTTCCTGCAAGAGTGTGGAAATAATAATTATATACTCTTTTTCTGGAAAGTATAGTCGCATTCACTTGAACATCAAGACTCACCGAAGTAGTGATTCTTGCCTGGCGTGACGAGTGTTAGTGTGTAGAAATATTTTTGATGGAACACCAACCGACTATCATGTACAAAATCACTGTAAATAGGACTCCTTGTCGGTCACTGTTACCATTTCTTCCTAGCGATATTCTCCACGGGCTTTTCAATGGAGGGGCTTTTTAAATGTCGTATTAACTTCGGCCCCTGCTGTGTTCGCAGTTTTTTGTTTCCAACTTGTTTTTTTTTTAATTTCGGATTTAAATCATGTCATCTTTCTTAGCCATTTTTCACTTTCTCTACGTTTCCAACCAGGAAAGTCCAAAAAGTTCCCCTGGACTTGTCGCGTGACTCAAACAGCCCCTTCCTCGGTCTTGCGTTCAAATTAGAGGTAAGTCTCGTCTTCCAACAACGCTCATAACAGATACCATAAGTCCACTGCGTCCACTTTAAACGATGGAATGTATTCCGCGTTCTCCGTTCGATTCGTCGACGTCTCGGTCAATGCAGTTGCCATGACGTTTGTAACTCGTGCTTAATGGTCGGTCGGCCAACTGGGGAGTATGAAAGAAGGAACCGCACGGATTCATTCCTGTTCCTTGCTGGTGCCCCACCTGGCATGTTAACCTCTGCTACGCAGTACCCCCAACACAAATCAGATTTTCCCGACCCGTCTCCGTTTCTCCTCAGTATCCATGGCTTTGGCAGGAGTGGTGTTCTCTGCTGTGTTTGATCGTTGACCCCAAATGATCGTCTTACCCTATCGACATAATAATCAGACGATAGCTGGACCGTCACCGGCGACGACGTCAACTACTGTCCCATGATGTGGACACGGTCGTGCATTACCCGTGACTTTGTTTATAGTAAGGCAGACTTGCTCTGTATCTACCTTGCTCTCTCTTTCCACACTCACCGCATTCCGATGGCAAAACAAAATCTTGGAGGTTGGAGGTTAGCACGGGCGCACTGACTGACAGGGTTAAACAATCCATGTATGCATTTTGCGTAAGACCTGATCCCGAACTCAACGCTTACTAGGCTTTATTAATGAGGAGGGTTCGGAACTCACATGAATAATGGTGCCATACGAGCCAGACGGCTGACGTGAATTCACCGCCTAACGCGCGCCACTCGCGCTGGGGCGGGGCCGTTGCAGTCTCATCCTCGTTCCAAGGGAGGACCAAATTATTCCGTTATTGGATACTCTTCGGCCTTATGATCTGGGGTCACAGTTAGTAGGAATTGTTAGTCTTACTATCAGGGTGTTTGGATTAGCGGTAGAAGTCGGGCCTCTGACCGATCTTTATGGCTTGCTATAAGCATTAGCCTTGGCGTTAGTTGTTTGGGCAGCATTAAGTGTTAGCCGTTAGAGTTTGGTTTATGGAAGGTCCACCATGGAGTGTGATCCTCCAGCTTCGCCTAGGTCTCTGTCATTGGCATACTGCCAATATGCTGTTGGCACACTACAGGCGCCGTCAACTCGTCCATTGCTGGACTTATCAACAATACCTCTATCTTATTGCGACCTACAAAAATTCGTCTTTCATATACTACGTAATCCACTTAGGCCTTACTTTTAGCCGAGGTTGTTATCACGCTATAAGCATAAATTAAAGTAACCATTAATGTAAGAATACAAATACGCAGCTTATCCCGCGTTTCGCGTCGATTCTCGGTCATCGATCGAAGACTGCGACTATACGCTTGCCGCTGTACATGGCAACGACGTGTTAAAAGATGGGCGCCCAACTGTTTGCGAACGCAGTTCTGTCCAGTTTGGCCTCAATGTACGACCAAACGGCTTTGGACTTCAAATAAATAATGTTGCGGTCCGTGTGATAGGCCGCTTTTTAAGCCATGGTCGTGTTGGGAAGAGGTTTTTTGGTGAATTCAAACTAGCTCCTAGCGGGTTATCTGTGTATTTTGTTAGTGCTCACCGACAACGTTCAAACTTAACTCCTTCTGATATTCCCATCCGTCAATTCCCAATTCCATAATTCTGACAAACTGGGCAGTTCGGGTAAACACTTGCTGTGAGGCACCAGGAGCCATCGTCAATAACGACGATCGAACTGCCATGACATGGGGGGAAAAATGTACTCGAAAGGAACTAGAGCGCTGGTGCAAGCAAACCCATTCTGAGGCTGGCATACCTATTTATTGAGACAGACCTTAGGAAATATGAAAATAACAGTCGCAAACACCGGGATTTGCGTGAGAGTATTTTACCTCTGAGCTATTGCAGCCACATCCGCCAGTTGAGCTAACTAAACTACTAAGTATACCGTGTTTTTCTGTTTTTGCGCTGTCTTTTAGGCCAGTCGCTATGGTCAGCTGACTTACACCCGTGTCTATCAGGGCTGTCTGAGGCGCGGTGATAGCCTGAAGAACACGCGTACGGGCAGACGACTACGTGTCCCCCGGCTCGGTCGCATGAACGTGGACACCTTCGAGGATCTGGATGCGGTCTACGCGGGCGATATTGCTGCCCTCTTCGGCGTCGATTGTTCCTCCGGGGACACCCTAGTGGCTGTCAATTCGCCCATGGAAAAGTGCTCAATGGTAGGTCGCCACCAACCAACTTTGGAATTTGACTAAGATTTGTAGATTCCTTGAGCGTCCGTCGAGTTACTCACAGGGTCTAGTTGTTTGCACAAGTCAGGTGTCTTCCACCGCATGTAGGCAATGCCCCCGTTGTTTGAGCCCAGACGAGTAGGTGGAAGGCTCGCTTGGGGTCGACAGAATGACCGCCATCAAGGAGGCTTTTTATGATAGAAGGACGGACATTTTATTTCCCTGCCTTAAAAGCCATTTAGGCAAGTGCTCAACTGACCTGGCAGCCTTTGCATCCTCCAGACTTTGTCTGACACCTCATAGTATAAATCTATACCCACAGGTCTTGGGGAAATTCAGTTCATGTTCGTTACGCGCGCTAAGATACCGCCTGCTCCGTCATCTTTTTAGGGAACTGAATATTCTCTTTTGATCGGACATACCATGCCGGTTTTTATCTTTTTTTCAGGAATCAATGTTCATTCCTGAGTCGGTCGTCTCCATGTCCATCACACCAGTGGACAAACACAACATCGACTCCTTCAGCAAAGGCCTTGCTCGCTTCACCAAAGAGGACCCGACATTTCGGCTGAAACATGACGTTGAGAGTGGACAGGCTCTTGTCTCCGGTATGGGTGAACTTCATCTGGAAATCTATGCTCAACGTTTGGCCCGCGAGTACAATGCGCCTTGTATTCTTGGCAAGCCCAAGGTAGCCTTCCGCGAGACTCTTCTCGAACCAGTGGAGTAAGTTGTAGGCTACGTCATCTATCCGAAGTAACCATTGCCTTAATTCTTGGATGGAAGCGGGTCCTAGGTAACAGGCGCTTGTGACCGAATAGACCCATGCGATAGCTACATGACGTCTGGTGTATGTTGGTGCTCCAGGCATTGGTTTGCGAGTCTCTGTGCGATGGATTCGCAAGTGACCGACCTGGCCGATGCGTGAGGTGAACGCGCGGTAACAGTGTAGGTAGGATATGTTGGGCCGGTTGTCGTTTTGGCACTGCTAGCGGTGGCCGCGCTAATCGATGGGGATTTTTTTGGGCTGGGGATGGGAGGAGTGGTGGATATGAAAGGTGTGTTAGGCAATTTGATTTGCTCCGTAGATTGCTACGCCAGTCTTCACTACTCTTCCAGGCCGGCCTGTCCTGTGCGAGGTCTTCCCAGGATTTTGGGTTGATTTGTAAACACCTCAAAGAATTCGTTAGGGTATCCTTATAGCTGCGTGTTTGTCCTCATTGTCGACGAGCACCTTTGGCAACATCGTTGAAGAGTCGCTTGGGTAAGCGCGCCTCGTCCATCCTCATGAGGTGGCCGCCCCAGTTGCAGTTGCCTCAGCATGACGTGGATGCTGAGGATTCCGGCCGTTCCAGGACTTCCGCGTCCAGGATTCCGTCCCGCCACCTCAGCTTTAATGTGCGACAGAGGCAGCGAAGGTGAAATTGGTTGAGTTTTCACGCTTGCTCCCTGTATACTGTCCGGGTCTCCGCACCATACGGCAACGTCGTCAAGATGGCAGTCTGGTGTTAAGGCGGAGACCGTGACGCATCCATACGGAGTTCTGCAGCCGGCCGGAGGCTTGACTAGCCTTGAAGATCCAGTGGGTCACTTTGCTCTCGATTTCGATGCAGCGTGAGAGTCTGCTGCGTAAGAGGGCGAAGTTGTCCATGGTCTTCAGTTGGGTTCCGTTTACGTGGATGCGAGGAACACAGTATGCAGAGTTGGGTGGCGGTCGATACTTAGTCACCGTTTTGTTCATGTTGATAGTCAGACGGAAGTTGGCGCAGCCGGAGGCCAAGAGGTTAACGCTCCGCTGTATTCAATCCAGTTCAGTTTATTTGAGGGAAAGTAGGTGTGTAACTTTGAAATCCCTATTTGTTTCATGCAGAGGGACTAGCGAAAAAAATTGGAAATGGAGTAACACCAAAGAACTACAAAGAAAATTTCAAAGCTGTACGGGCACTGCCTAGCAGGTATCCCTGTAGACCCCTCGGCTTTCCGTAATTGTCATGGAGTCCATCCGACTGCCCTGCTGATAGCGTCCTAAGCCCTGCTGGTACGCACAGCGGTACCTTCTGACGATACCGCCAGTTACTATTACTGCCCTTTTGTGCAAACCTTACTTTTTCTAATTCATTCAGAGTTAAGCTGTGCTTAAGGGCCGAGCTATATTGGCAACTCAAGTAGTAATTTGATCGTTTGTTCCTCCACTTAACCGTCCAGTTAGTTTAATTTCAATGTGACTTTTTTTTACTGCGTTCGAGCCAGTAATATCCGCGCCGAAACTGAATTATCCAATATTTTTCCTCCCCCGCCAGGTTTGACTACTTGCACAAAAAGCAGTCTGGTGGCGCCGGGCAATTCGGCCGTGTAACAGGTATCCTCGAGCCCCTGCCATCGGAGATCAATACCCAGGTACTCTTCTCCGACGAAACTGTGGGGACAAATATCCCCAAAAACTACGTCCCCGCCATCGAGACCGGCTTCCGCAACATCTGCGAAAAAGGCGGTTGTCTATGTGGCGCCAAAGTGGTTGGCGTGCGTTTTCGCCTGCAAGACGGTGCTCATCACTCTGTGGACAGCAGTGATTGGGCATTCCAGCTAGCCGCCGAGGGCGCCGTGAAACAGGGTGAGAGGCCATTTGAAGTCCTTGCGATCGATCAGAGGGATCCTGTTAGCTGTGCACTCTGTCCTTATGCGTGATTCTATTTCTCTCTCCACCTGCCCTCCATCGTTTTATATAAAGGATTGATGTGATTGTATAGCCTTCCTTGTCGCATTGCCTTTTAGCCTTTGAACGTGGCAAATGGGCCATCCTAGAACCGGTTATGTTGGTTGAGTGCTCAGCTCCCATCGAGTTTCACGGGCAATTGCTGAGCTCAGTTACACGTCGGAACGGTGTTATCATCGACACGGACTTGAGCGATAGCTATGCCAGAGTCGTAGCCGAAGTAAGTTTTTGATGTATAACCCCACTAAGACCTGCGCCACAGTCAACTTTGTTTTTCCACTTTCCTCGTAAACATATTCTAATGTTCTGCAACTACTCAAAACTTTCGACAATGCCTGTAGAGCATGCTGCTATTTTGCCTCCTGCGGCAGTCATGGGTAATTTCCGTTTTGAGGCCCTCGGTTAATGGGGACCCTCCTCTCGCGGAAAGTTTCTAGCATTGTGTGACTGCCCACGGTATTGCGCTTCCTTCCAACTTAATTGTCACGGCTCCAGTCGGCCTTCTTCTATGCCACTGGACGTTATCGTGCTTTGTTGTTGTTGGCCTATGACTCCGAGCGGCCAGAGGGCCGTTGACATCATGGTTCACAGGGGGTTGTTGCCTTGCGAGGATATGGTTTCCCATAGCTATTTCATCACCAAAGAACGCGATTGAGTCCTCTGTCAGCCGCGGGTTGCCTGGAACGCTGTATGGTTTTCTGCAATTATTTCATTCGAAAAAGAACGTTTCTGTTCATCCACCGTCCCCCCCCCCTCCTTCTCCTCCTCCCGCAACCACACCAATTTGAGGTTCCAGGATGCCGCCATTCATGGACCGTTATAGGTGCTTGCAGTGTGCTGTGGCGCATCGATAATGGGCCGTGACTAAAGCGCGACACCTTTGTTTTGCTGGTTCCAGGGCCTTATTCTCCCCTCATGCTCACTGGTGTTATCTGCCGCTAAGTTTACTCTATTGCACTGCTGAGTGACTGTAAGCTGGTTATTTGCGGTGCTTGCCAGGTTGCCGGTAACCGAATTGTCATCGGCGTGAGTGAACAATTGGGAAAATTAGCTATCGAATACCAGTAAGGTCTTTTGGTAGTAAAGAGATTAAGTCCACGACACCCCCCCAAGTCGTAGTACATTGTTCATCGAGACTCGCAAAGTACCGAACTAAATCCCTTACCTTGCTTTCAGCTAGAAACTACTTCCTAAGTGGTGTCGATACCGATTAACGTGGGGTGGAACCTCAAGTTAGTTGATACACAACCATATGCTGGCTTTTAGTTGTTAGTCTTTCAATGCCTCCGTTTAGATTGCATCCACGAAGAAGGTACTACTTAAGTAGTGTCTGGTTCCACCCTGATTCTTGGCGCCCGTATAAATCAGGCAATATTCCTCTAAAAGATGATACAAGCATTTCGTTTTTATACCCATTCTTTACGAATGTGCGCATGCTTCCGACTTATTGCTTGAAGGAGGAAAGTATTCTGATCTTCGAGGTTCTGTAATTCAACCCAGCACCTTCCCCTGTTCCATCGGTCTCCCAACCACCTAATATGCATTACCTTAAAAACTAGGAATTGCGTTTCGCACTAGTCAGAGGTGTAACTCCTTCAACAGTCTGAGACTCCGACCGTTGTCACCTGAGTTTCGACGCCCGCTGAATGTCTCTCTCTCTCTCCAAAACATTCACTCGCACCGGTTAGGAAACGGGAATAGGAACATCCCCACTTGCACATGTGGCCTTGCACTAAATACCAGGAAGATTGGGGTTTGGCCGAGGTTAGGGATAGGGCGAAGGTCATTATTGGAGTTACGGTTAAATTTCGGGCAATCGTTAGCGTTAGGACACGAGGATAGGCACTCCTCCTGTACTTTAACACAAGGTCACCCCCATTACGGGAGGTTCCTATTCTCGTTTCTTACCAGCAACCATTGCTTCCTACCTCTCTAACGTTCTCCCCTATCCTTCTTTCAAGGTCCCCCTCAATGAGATGTTTGGGTATGCAGGAGAGCTGCGAAGTCTGACCGAGGGCAAGGGTGAGTACTCAATGGAGTACTCCAAGTACTGCCCCGCCCGTGCTGAGACCGCAGAGGCTGTAATCGCGGAGGCGGAGGAACTTGCGTCGAAGGAGGACAGCAGTAGTTCTGCCAAGACCAAGAAGAAGAGGAAGAACTGACGTTTTAGCTTCTGGAGTTGCGCCATCTTCTGCTCTGTCACCACCCCTGAAAATTGTACATTTAGTTTGTAAATTTTATCACTTCTTATGACTTAATGGCGTTCTCTCGCCGCCCCCCACCCCACCCCGCAAAGTGAGGGATAAGTGATGTTTGCCTGGTTGTGCAAGAACAACCCCTACTTCTTATCGCTTTTCTCTGCTTGTATGATCCTCGTATTTTTTTAGGATTACCTCCAGGTTTGTCTATGCTGCGCAACCCTGTTATGCGTAGTGGCACGGTGCCGTTTAGCGATTACAGTGATTTCTTTTTGCTTTCAAACTGTGGGCGGCCACTGAATACCTGATAGTCCGAAGAGATTGCACTCAAATCGGCTCACAAGATTAAAGGCGGACGGGTAGTACGATTGCAGATTCCTTTTGGTGTGTTCGGATTACCTGTACAAACTTAATCGGTTGGCTGGGCATGCAGAAGAACATTTGCCGAGTAGATTAATATTCACATGGACTGCTCCTGGGTAAGAAAAGGAAACAATGACAAGCATGCGCCCTATTTATGTAATGCGATGATTCGTCTGTTTGACACTCTAGTTGGAGGATCACTGGCCACGGCAACGGAGCAGAGACTTGGTGACGCACCAAATGAAGTTGTGGAATCACTCAGTCGTGTATTTTCCTCGCTAACTCTCCGACTGCCTATTATTGACTGAGTCTCACAATAAGAGTGGCGGCTGACGGTCACCCCCCTACAAACCACTCACGTACTTCTTCCACGTCCGTTCTTTAGTATAATAATAATAATAGTGTATTTTAGGGTAATAGGCAATGCTCTTGATGACCGTGCTGCAAACGGTACATACAATATAAATGTTAGATGCACATCTTACTAAACTTTTGTCAGTAACATATCTGTTCACGGAAAACGTTTTTACGGTGCGGAGCCGCGAATGGTGCGGCAAGCGACCTTTTCAGTGTACATACGAAATTTGAAGTGCAGTTATATACAATCAGCATAAAGTGCAGTCATTTGCATAGTTTGAGAGGGAAAATTTCATTAAAAGTCAGGGCTGTGTTCCGTAGGGATGAAATAAAAAAAAATGAAATTTATGACTGACCGCATATAGTCCTGTAGTGAGAGTCGTCGTTTATCAAAGATCAAACGATCCAGCTGCCTTTTGAATACAGCCATTGTATCAGATGTCGTTATTTCACTTGGAAGTGAGTTCCACGATCGAACAACACGCTGGCTGGAGGAAAACTTCCGATGGTCTAGGCGTGTACGCTCCCGCTTGACTTTGTACGGATGACCGTGCAGGTGACTCATGGTCGTGAATTCAAAGAAGTCTTCAGTTTTGAGCGAACATTCGTACACGTGGATAATGCGGAATGTCCATAACAGGTCACACCTCATTCGTCTATAGGATAGGGGGAACAAATTTAGTTGCATCAGTCTTTCTGGATATGACAGAGTCCTGAGACCGTCCGCCAGTTTTGTGGCCCGTCTTTGCACCTGTTCTATGGCATCACTGTCTTTCTTCATCCAGGGTATCCATGATGGCATTCCGTATTCTAAATGCGGTCTGACGAACGTGCCGACTATCTGTGAGAAGAGTTCTGGAGGAAAGATTCTGAAGACACGCCTAATCCAGTGCATGATGCTGGATGCCTTTTGGACGACTTTTTTTCGGTGCTGAGAGGGTAGCAATTTTGAGCATGTCCAGACACCTAGGTCTTTGTACGTGTCCACTTCTGTTAGTGGAACCCCATTTATGGTGTACTGATGTTTTGGGAAGCGCCTCCGACCAGATTCTAGTCGCCAAACTACATATTTGGATACGTTAAACGCTAGAAGCCACTTGCTGGACCCCACAGCCAGCTTATTAACATCTTCCTGTAGCTTCTGCGTATCGTAAACGCGGCTACTTATTTTCCAGATCTTTGTATCATTTGCAAACAAGATGTCATCGCATTTAAGGTCTGTAGGCCAGTCGTTTATATAGATGAGGAAGAGGAGAGGACCCTAGGCTGAGCCCTGCGAATCGCCGCTTTTTACTAGCACCCATTCGGATGCAGTAGTGCCAACGATCACTTTTTGGAGCCTGCATGACAGAAAACTTATAATCCATTTAAAAATTTTGCCCTGTATTCCACACACCCAAATCTTCTATAGGAGTCGTCCATGAGGAACGCTATCGAACGCCTTCTTAAAGTCAAAGAAGATGACGTCCACTGGACGGCCCTGCTCTACGGCTCTTGTCCACTTTTCCTGAGAGTAAAGACTGCTTGTAAGATAGGAGTGACCACGGCGAGATCTGTGCTGAGCAGCACACAACAGGTCCCTCTGCTTCAGATACATTAAATGCCCTTTTGTAAGTCGTTCCATGATATTGCATAGAATGCAGGTTAAACTAATAGGACGGTAATTTTCGGGCTCCAGCCTGGATCCTGCTTTATAGATTGGAGAAATAAGGGCCATTTTCCATTCCTCCGGCAGTTCGCCTTCTTCCATGGACTTCCGAAATATCATGAACACCGGCTCACACAGTACATCCGCTAATTCTTGGAGGGCAAGTGGATGAATTCCATCTGGGCCAGGCGATTTGGCAGGTTTCAGCCGGCATAGTTAGGTCCTTATCAACGTGGGTGAGAAGAAAAGATTGTCTTCCAATGCAGGACAGGAAGGATTTTGTCGTTGGTCTACTTAAGGCAGGGCAGGAGGGTTTGTGTCATCAGTGAATACCGACTGAAAGAAATTGGAGAAGGCTGGTGCTTTCAGATGGTCATCTGTCTCAATTACTCCGTTTTTGGGATCTTGGCGCTGGAATCGGGTCGCGATTGCTCTGTCCATTACGTATGTAACTATAGAGGATTTCAGGATGCTCCAAGGAGTGTTGTAATATGAACAGCTCATAGTTGCTTCGAAGTCTATTGGCCTCGCGTTTACATACATTCCGCTGTCGCTTGTATTCCTTCAGGTGTTCAGGACTCTCTGTGTGTCGATAGTGTCTCCACACTTTATTTCTCCTCTTAAACGCGGCTTGCAGTTCCCGGTTTATCCACGGCGGACGGTTGCTTGTTTTCTTTCGTGTGAGTGGACAGTTTACATTAAAGATTCTTTTGAGCAGTGAGCTGAACGTTCTCCAGTAGTCATTAACTGTTCCCTGCAATGTGGTTGTCCACGGTATTGCTGAGACTTGCGTTCGCATGCTCGAAAAATCCCCCTTCCAGATATTTGTTTGTAATTGTTCAGGTGAATTAGGTTGGGAGAACACGGAATACTCGAGGAGCATCACAATATGTATCAGTATCAGTATATTTCAGGGAAAGTAGGTGTGCACCTTTGAAATCCCTATTGGTTACATGCAGAGGATATATATGGAGGAAATGGAAAGGAAGTAACATGAAAGAAATGCGAGGGGACTAGCAAAAACTGTACAGATGAACACAGAATGTCATGCGTTAACAGAGTTTAGAGGCACATTAACTTGCTTTGTTGGTCAAAATACAGCGGACAGTTGAGGCACACCTAAGACACGGGGAAAGAAGTAAAATTGTTTAGTCTACAGGCATCGTGGTGAATGCGAACAGCGGTGTGCGACGTGGCCCGGGCTTAATAAATGACATAACCTATATTACTTAAATGTTGGTAATAACATCGTTACAACACTTAATTGTCCGCGTTGG